CCAGGTCTTGGCCAAAATCATCTGTGAGTTACTATAATTTTTGAGATGCCAAATTTGTCCTTAGATTTCAATTTCAAATTACTATAATTTGATTTCTATATGATGCAGACCTATACTGCCTCCCCTTGCAATTGAAAGCCTTCTGGAATTGGTGTACCACAATACCCATCATTCCCAGCTAACATTTATTTATTCCCCTGCCTTGTCCACAGCCCCAGCGGACATGTCAGCACTAATAAAACAGTGTTATGTGATGTTTTGCTCTCATGCGTAATGCATGTATTGATAAAAGATTATAAAAAAGCAGACATGAAACAGTTGCATCAGGATTGTCCATGGGTGGCATCTTCTTCATCCTCAGGAGCACTTGTGCACACTTTGGCACAATCCTAAGAATCATATACTGTATTGTTCTATGAGTTTTAGTTTTTAAAAGAAAATATCGCTTTTCCAAACTCTGGATTACATTCTCCTCTGCAATACCCAGGACTGGTGGAGGCAGGTCTAGGTTAATTTCTGGAGGAGACAGACATAATCTGAATCCAGAAACAGATGCTAGAGATAGCCTTCAATTAAAGCAAAAGCATGTTAATGTTGCAAAGAAGGGCTTGAGGCAGTCCTTCCATATTTGTGAAACTGTGCTTCAAAACAACCCTGTAAGTCCCAAATACTAACCACCAGACAAAGCAAACCTAATCTGCATAACCCCAGAGGTGAGGGAAACTCATGCTCTGACTCTCCAAGGTCCACACTAGTTAAGAGTTTTTCTCTTCCACTCAAGGGCAGTTTCTAATATCTGTTTCTGGCCAAAGAGAATTGTGATGCGTCTGGTTAAGGCAATCTCGGCACATTCTACAGGGACCTCCTCCCTTGACTCCTAGCATGTGTAGAAGACCGAGTTGCCATTCTATTGCTCTGAGCTTTGGACCAGATGGAAACGAGTACAGTATGCCTATTCTAAAGCATTGTGTGGCATGGTAGACCTTTGCTCCACTACATCCTCTTGCAAAGAAGAAGAAGAGAGGAGAGAGGTAAATGAGGAATATAAAGTGTGAGCCAGTTCTATTATTAAGTAGAGTACGGCAGCCATTTTGCATGAAGGAACAAGGAATTGTTAATTCTTTATTCCTGTATTTGTGTTGTCATGAAATGTGATATAGGATTTTAAAAAAACCCTCAGATGTCATTGTTACTGGACTGATTTCCTGGGTACCACACTTCCTGACTAATGTGTGTTCACAGCATTTGGTGTGTTGTTTTAGGATAGCAGAATGCTTCAGAACCACCTGGCCTTGGAACAGAGCATCCATCATGACTTCCCCTGTTCTGGCTCCCTTTCACTGCAGCTCCTGTCCATCCCTACCTCCAAAATCAGGGCTCTGATGAAGAAATGCAGCATGAAAAAGTCACCGCTCTACTCTGGCCCTTAGGCTGGGTGAGCTGAGCAGTCACCCATGGCGCTGAGCTGAGGTGGGGGAACCTCAGTGGCTTTGTCTTTTAATTAATGTACTATTTACAGTGGAACAGAGTGGCAAAAAGCAAGTACTTTTAAAAAACCCTGCCCCTGATTCTACAAATTGCTTGGGTAATAGCTGTTTTAGTAGCTCTTTAATTAGCTTAATTTCCAGTTTCATATCACTTGAGCTAGGTAAAAATCAGTTATACACCAGAGTAGCCACCACTCCACGAAAGATCGAATTCATGCGATGGAGAGAGTTCCCGTTGCTTGTCCCAGCTCCTGCCAACCTAGCCATTCAAAAGCATGCAAATGCAAGTAGATGAATAGATACCACCACAGTGGAAAGGTAATGGCGTTCCGTGTCTAGTCGTGCTGGCCATGTGACCATGGAAACTGCCTACGGACATACACTGGCTCTACAGCTTGGAGACGGGGATGAGCACCGCCCCCTAGAGTCGGACATGACTGGACTAAATGTCAAAGGGAACCTTTACCTGGTGGCTCAACTCCTCCACAATATCCATTAACTCAAATGGGCCTACTCTAGTTGTAACTTACTGCTCTAAGTAATGAAATTTCAGCCAGTGTTTATTTGCACTGTGCTGTGCATTTATTGCAGCTTAGATAAAATCAATATATAATCAAAGAAAATAAGCAAACCTAACTGACAGTTTTGTTGGAATACCTAGC